AGGCTGACGGGCGCGTAATCGACGTAATTTAATGAATCACGGGCCACTTCACACCCCGCTTACGTAAAATCCGCTTCGCTTGCTCTGTGCCAACAGGACGCTGCGAGAGAAAACGCGGGAAAACCGGAGGAGCGGAAAAGGGTGGATCCCTCGCGGCATGAAGGAAAGGATTAAACTACGTTGTTACGGTTTTATGTGTGTTGCTCGTAATGCTTTTTGACGCGTATTTTCTATTCAGATCCTTTGGGTTCGAGTGCAAAACGATCGTCTTCGCGATACTTGAGATATAATTCCAGAAACTAACTTCGAATCAGAAAGATCGCTCGCTTTGTCGCTGGAATAAAAAAAAAAAAAGAAGTTGATATTATTCAAAGTTACTAAAAAACATCTTTAATTTATCCGACGAATAAAATTGTTCCAATGGCGAAGATAATATGCGGTATAGAGAGGCTATACAAAAATTGAAATCAAATGAATAAGAATAAACGGCCAAATAAAGAGCCAACGCTGGTTTTTGTGCGCAAATATTGTTTCAATTTAATTGTACAAAATATTCAAGTAACAAATCCTCCTATTGGGCAATTTAAAATCCTCAATTACGTCTGAAGCCGATAGTCCGCGATATTCGTGTATTCGCGTTTCTCTTCGAGAAGAAATCCTCCGGGAGAGAGAATGAAGCAGTTGCAGATGAGAACGCAGCTCCGCTTCTACGTGCTGTGTCTTCACCCGCTTGTATTAGCACGTTGATTGAGCACGGGGGTTACTGCGTGTGGCATACAAAGTAATTTCTATAAGAGACAACGCGATTGAACACATCCACTATTTTCGATTTCCGCGAGTATATTACTCAAATGTAATTATCGGAAAGATCTATTGCGGTGCATACGTAAATAACGACTCGTGTCGTATTATTTGTCGTCAATAAAAAAACGAAATACGGGCGTTTCGCGTTATCGAACGGCGCCGCTGGGAAAAACGATTTAATTCTTCTTTTTTGTGCGTGCGCGATATTTTTTCAGGATCCGCGACCCTCGTGAGACCTCAAAATGCATGATTCTCCAATAACTGTCGCCGCACACACGCAGAACAAATTATTCTGATGTTTAATTACGTGCTAGAGACGCGAGCTAATTAGTTTTGTGCATAAAAGTGAATATATTTTATTAGTTTTGTAGAAATATATATTTTATTTCAAAAACGTATATAAAACTATATTTTTAATGTTTAATTTTTATTAAAAAATGACTTCAGGATGTAATTAAAACGCTTGCAACAGACAATATATTAATTAATTAAATAATTTTGATCTCATTTACATTTTGCGCATCTACACTGAACAAACAGTTTTGTTGAGATTTCCAAATTTTGAAACCAAAATGTGATTTCCGGAACACTTTATTTGGTTTCATCAAATTTTTGTTATCTCAACAAAACTGTTTTTTCAGTGTACGTTCACGTTGGATTCTCATTGTGATCGTTTTTCTCGTTTGATTCGACATCTCAAGAATCCTTCTATGTGCGAAATTTCAGTTTTTGACAAAAATGAAATTTATTTTATTTATGACAAGTTGGTCGTATCGCGTTACGTGAGTTATATATCGCAAAATGCGTTCTCGCCAAGTCAGAGCGGTCGACAGAAGGCGTTAACGATTATCGTCGACAAATCATTAAAAAATGTTCTAGTAAAAATGAACGGCGGTTGTGCGCGCGTGCGCGCGCGTGTCGAAAACAAAAGTTTCAGTCTTTATTACTTACTGAGACTTTTTCCGTCCTTCTTTTCTCGCGTTTCTCCCGTCTTCTTCTTCTTCTCTCTCTCTCTCCCTCGGGAAAACCTCCGAGAGAGAAGCATGCAATCGCAGATGAGACGTCGTTAAGTATTCCGCGCGCGTTTCGCCGGATCTTCCCGTTAATAACATCACGCATCCCGAACATCTTTCCGTGCTCATGGGCGGCTGCTGTACTCTGCGCGCGAATCCTGCAAGCTCGAGTCTTACACGTAATACTCGCGCATCAGATATTTCATTGTAATACAACGTGCATGCCGTACTTGGAGCCGTGAATCGCGCTCAAGTGCTGCTTCCCGAAGCCGCGATATTATGCCTATCGATCAGACCACTTTGTTTCGCATCGCGTACCAATCGTTTTTATTCTACTCTTTTATATTATATACTTTTCTGTAAATTAACGTATATACGCGCGTGTGTGTAAATTTACACTGTGAAGCGTGAATAAATTTATATTGAGAGATAAAAAGATATGATAAAAAAAAAAAAAAAAAAAAAAAATTGCTGTCTGTTTACCAAAGTTAAACACACGAAATTCTATACATACGTGTATTTATTAATTTTTTTCGATAGCGAGCAAAGTGATAACGTTCTCCTTGAAATCAAGTAGGTACGTAAAAATAAGAGATTTTTCGTAGTTTGCTTTCTTGCGGAAATAAGATTATCCAAGCCAAGTGACCCAAAAAACCTGACGTAAAGTAGATAATCCGGTTCTCTCCCGGAAGGATGTTATCACTGGAAAAGTACATTCTTTTCTTTTCCCGGAGAGAAGAAACTTGATTTACGAACTCTAATTAGTCGATTAGCTTTAATTATATATAATTGACAGATCGACGGGCTGGACGGCATAAATTAATAACAACAATTTTTGCTTGGGTGTAAAATTGAAGGTTTATTTATTGCTTGTTTTCTGATGAGTGCTCGAAATTGGAATTTAGTAGTTGGAATGTCGATAAATAAAGCATTTGATTTAAATCCGGGCTTGCATTTATAAATGTGCGTCGCACCTCTCGGCTCGAATTTACATTTTAAATATTAAATTTACAATTTGCGTTTGTAGGTAATAGTGATTAAACGAGTGTCCACTGATGTGAGCGCAATTTTCCATGAGTTTGGAATAGCATTTATATTTTAAATAACAAATATATACATATATATATATATATATATATATAAAGAGGGGAGGAGAGGGAGAGAGAATAGTATTCCAAAAAACTATTATGTGTTGTTAAGAGATAAGAAATTTAAGCGTACGCGGTTGAAAAACTAAACATTGGTTAGGGGATCACCTGTTACCACGAGAATATTGATTACCACGTATTACTGTAGAAGAGACATTCATTTGCCTAAGCATTACAGTCTAGCCGTAATTGAACTCTGGTAAAGCAACCGAGGAAAATTGTGTAGTGCTCGTAATTCAAAAGACAATTATGGGCAGCATAATCATAACGGACATAAAGTATAGAGAGTTATTGCCGTTCGTGACCATTATATGAGTTTATGATCTTCGAGAGAAAACAACATATATCACATTTAAATATTTGATATTTGCGTGCTAGTCTTTTCGCACGATGATGTATGTATACGCGTTAGAAATGTATAGAAATGTTTAAACTACCTCGTCAATTAATCAATTGCGAAAACCCCAAACGTGTGTAATTCGCGGTTTGAAACAATTGAATGGCAATCCGATACGATCGGAGCTTGTTACCGAAAAGACAACGCGGTTGCTTCAAAGTGCAATTAAAACCAGCGATGTTGTAGTTGCCGCATAAAGACCATAATATCGGTAAAAGGCTAAAACGAAATTTCTGGTTAATCCCTTTCCAGATAATTGCTTCTTCTTGCTACTCTCGCGCGCGGCTGTAATCTCCGAGTAATAATTAAGTTATTTAGGGTTTACGGGCAAATTCTTGTGACCGGAAGGACAAATCCTTTAAGAGAGAGAGAGAGAGAGTGCCGCGACTCTGGCATCTTTTAAATTAATAAATAGAGTTATAGATCAGTATATCTTTCTATTTGCAAAATGCTAATCGAGAGTTGATTTGTCGACTTGTGTGTAAAAAATCAAGTAACCTTTTGTATATTAAATTCGGCAACTGAAGAACATTTATTTCAATCCGCACACGTGCGCAATTAAAATATCGCGTACAATAAAAAAAATTTACATTTGTGAAAACTGGATACATATATAATATATACATTGCATTATATAATTTGAAATATTATAATGCGAATAAAAAAGTGACTGATCTGGGCCGCGCGATTGTGTGTACGTGATCGGAATACGTTGTGTTATTTCTATAAAATTGGTGGACGATCTCAATGATCGATCACTTTTTCGCGAGAATCAAATTCGCGAAGAGACACTGTGTGCAAATCGTATCGTCAACGTTGAAGAAGATTTTTGCCTTAAGGGAATCGGATCACAACGGTGAGAGACAAAGAGAGAGAGAGAGAGAGAGAGACGCGCGCGCGAGAAAGGCTTTAGTGGCGGTATCACGTGTCAAGAGAAGCGGGATTGTAGAGCGCACGAAATACACTTCCGCGCGCGCTAACGTTCGCCTCAGTATAACAGTTAACCCGGGCGGTTGGGAGAAGGGGTCTCGATCTATGATCCGGAGTTCTCGGAGCGAAGCGCTTTCTCGTCGACGTTCCTTATCGAAACAGGAAGAAATGACAACAATTTCTTCGTGGGTAACCGGCACATTCAGAAGAGAGCACCGCTCTTCTCCCCGTGTGCGCTCAGGTGATTAAGGACCAAAAGGTAGGTATAGGAGTAAGAGATATAATATTGGCGTGTGTAGGTGGAACGACGTGGGCGTGCGGACGAAACCGCGCGAGGGAGAATCGAAAGGCGAGAGGGACCGAGAGGGATGGACGACGAGGAGATAGAGAAAACGCGCAAAAGGGACAGTGTACGTGTATACGTGAAAGAAAGAGAGAGAGAGAGA